TTTTTTCACCTGAGCTTTGCTTAACTCACGATTTGGAGCCTTGGAGATATTTTGGAAGCATTTTTAGAAGTTTGATCGTGGTCGCTTGCTCCAGCAGTCGTCTCTGGGTGCCATGCTGGCTCCACAGTGACAGTACCTTTCGGGGAAGAAGGTGAGCCTCAATTCCTTGGCCGTCGCCTTGGAAGAGGCTCTCCTCAGCTCCCCAGGCTGGGGGCCTCCTACAAAGACCCTGGGGAGGTCCGGGACAAACTCGGACCCCTCCCGTCAGCCGGGTCTCGGCATGTCTCCATCAGAGCGAGACAGGACGCGTCCAAGCAGCAAAACACTTTGACCGGAAGTCTTCGCCCCAGTACTGTGTTAATAAACCATTTGTTTAAAGTGTTCTCTGCCTGGTCATCATGGCTATGTTCGTGGCTTAAAAAAGGGCATTTTGGATGGGCTTGGGAGGGTACTCTGGGCCTTCTCAAGGGACCCGAAGTCCAGAGTGGTAGCAGCTGGAGGTGGCAACCCCCTGGGGGTCATGACATGGTGGCTTTTAGCGGTGGGATGTGCCAGATGTTGACTTGGAGATAAAAGGGGTAGCTTCTCTGAAACAGAACTATTAGTTTGTTTGGTTTTTAATATATCTAACAACCTATTGAGGCAGACTCAGCATGGGTTCTGTAAGGGAAGATCTTGTCTCACTAACCTGTTAGTGTTCTTTGAGGGAGTGAACAAACATGTGGACAAGGGGGAATCCAATAGATATTGTTTTTTCCTGATTATAAAGGGTTCTCTGTGATCCTTTCGTAGTGATTGGTGTTGTTCAGCTGTCCGAATGCCTCCATAATATAATCATTTCTGCCCCAGATCACTACTTCACCTCCCCATACCTGCTGGTTTAAAAATAACTTCAGTGCTAGTGCAGACCCTTTTTTACAGACTCTGTTCCAACCTGTTTAAGTTATGCCAGAGAGGCAAGCTTAAACATTCAAGTTCTTTAATTTCTTCCTCTACAAGCTCCTGAAAGACCAGTACTCTAGGATTGTTTGTAGGGGGGCGTTAAAAGTAGATTTGGTTCTGAGAGCTCTATAGGTAGCTTGGAGATCTGGTTCTGGGCTCGCCGAGAACGGACGAATGTAGCTACCGCTCGTGTGATATGTTCTCCTATAGCCTTCTAGGGGGGTTTCCAACTGCCCTATAGGTACCCTCTCAGAGGGAGAGTACGAAGCAAGAAGCTCGTGCCAAACACTTAAGATAAGAAGGCAACTTCCTGGGTGAATTTGGGGCTGCTTTGGGGCAGAAGGCTACTGCAGGACGCTTGACAAGACACCGAGCACAAGACGAACCACTGAGGACCAACGGAGTTGCTAAAATACTTAGCTCCAATACATCAAACTCCAATGAAGCTAAGTATCATAAAAACGTATCTTTTGAAGGCAGAGCGTAGTAGTTTAGTGGACCACTAAGAAATAATACTACCCCAAAATAGTTCAAAAGGAAAGGAATAGGGGAGGGTCCCCTTTATGGTGGCCATTAGCGAAACAGTACAAGTTGGATAAATATTGAGTGGGTAGAAGGATCTAAATAAATAGGGGAGAAAAGAGGAAACAAACTGCGTAAAAGAAACTTAAGGAATAGACATATTACAGCTTGTTTCTTTTGTTTTTTGTTGCTTACCTTTGAGTTGCTGTGTTGAGGAAAGAAGGTGGAGGAAGCAGCGACGAGAGAGAGCATGAACGGGCAGTGGCGGAGAGAGAGGGCATGGTGAGGTGTAGGAAGAGAGAGAAAGAGGAATGTGACATACTGAAGCAAAGAGAAATGGAAGCAAAACATCAGCACAACAGGGAAAGAACGGCTCAAAGCGAAGCACAGGAAAAGAGACAAAGAAGAACGCAGCATTATGACGAGAAGTCAAACGGAACTAAAAAAAGTGGAAGAAGAGAAAGAATGACTCAAAGCGAAGCAAAAGGAACTCAGTAGTAGGGACATTTGACAATGAGAAATATTACATAATAATTGAACTGTGCATTAGTGAACTCAAAACAGAAGTAAAGTAATAGCATAAGCCTTGAGGAGAGAAAAGGGGGAAGTGGATAAGAGATATTAGAGTATTAGTACTAGAGTGAAACTGGAATTTGGTATTTAAAGTTATTAGTGCTCTAAGTGGAGGTAAAAAGAAGTAGGAGGGATAGGAAAATAGACAAATTATTAAAGGAGGGACAATTAAAGTTATTAAAGGAGGGATAAGCAAAAAGAACAAAAATCAAAAATAAATGGCTACAGGTACTAGTGCATCTAGAAAAGCATCCTTAACCTCCCCAGGGCAAGCTAATATTCAGAGCCAGCTTAAACGGAAGACAATGACGGTGGCTCAAATAAAGGACTTAAAAATCCTTATTCAAGAAACTGTGGCACAGTCTATTAAAACCACAGTAGACATAACCCTGCTGGAATTGATTAAAAAAGAAATAGACCCCATTCAAAAAAAAAAGGGAGAAACGATTAAGAAAGAAATAGAGCCAATACAGACAAAAATAACTGAACTAGAACAACAGATTAAAACAGAAACAGAGGACATAAAAACAAATAACTGAAAACAACCAAGAAATATTAAAAATTGCCACAACATGTAATAACACAGAATATAAATTACAAGAAGTAGATCAGGAGGTACAAGAACTAAAACAAAAATCAGATAAGTTGGAAGAATCATTAATGAATTTAGGGATGGATAAAGCTGCTTTGGTATTAAGATGCCAAAACATACCCGAATCAATTGACAAAAATCTAAAAGAAGATCTAATTCAAAATTTAACAGAACATCTTAAATTGGGAACCTAATTGGGAAGTAGAAAAAGAAATAGAAGCAATTTACAGAAAAAACTCCTCCTATGCAAGAAAAAATAGAATCCCTAGGGAAGTCCACATCAAATTCAACAGAAGATATACGAGAGAGAAAATTCTTAGAGCAACAAATGAGACTAAGGTGACTATCCAAGAAAAAGAAATAAAAATCTTAAAAGATGTTCCTTGGAGAGTTAGAGAAAAGGGTCAAAGTTATACTGTAGTAACTAAGTTGCTGCAGCTAAATGGAATCACATATAGGTGGCTATTCCCAGAAGGAATCTTATTCAACCATGAAGGCAAAGATATAAAATAGATTCTATATTTAAAGTAAAGGATTTTTTGAGAAAATGTGGAGAAAATCTTGGTAGGCAAAAAGAAGAAGAAGCAGAAGCAGAAGCAGAAGAAGAAGTAGAAGAAGAAGAAGAAGAAGAAGAAGAGAGCGAACTTGAAGAAGTGATGGATCCCAAAACAGAAGAGAACAAAAAGAAAGAATGAGCAAAAGAAAAAAAGAGAACTCTCCTATTGTATGTGTATACGTATGCCAATAAAGGCTTGTCAAATGTAATAAACAAACTTAATCCCTTCACAAGTGCTTACAAGGTATCAATATAGAGCTAAGGTAAAAAGTAACCTAAATAAAGATGGAGATAAGGAATAAATTTTTTAAAATTTCGGTGAACGTGAATGGTTTAAATCAGGGGTCATTTCGTAGAAAAAGAGCTAGGGGAACTCATTAGCATAACTCATTAGCATATGCCACACACCCTGACATCAGGGGCCCGGTGGTGGACCTGCAAGGCCAGCGGGAGTGCGAGGAAACCCCGCCAAGGCCCTCCCTGGCCCCAGGCAGGCAGGGGTGGGGAGAGGCGGGGAGGAAGCAACTTACCCTCCCTCTTCTCCTGCCTCCTCCTGGCTGAATGAGGGCTGGAAGCAGGGCGGCCAAAAGCAGGTGGCGGGGCTTCGTCATGTGCCCCACCCCCCTGCACCTCACCCGGGGGAACTGCGTTCCCCCGCGTTCCCCCGCATTCCCCCCGAAATGACCAGCAGATTAAATAGCCCCCCCAAAAGAAAAAGAATATTTCATCAAATCAATAAACTTCACCCAGATATAACATGTATTCAAGAGACTCACATAAAGAAAGATGTTACCAAATATTTAATATCTAAGAAAATAGGAGAATTATTTTGTGCAGCAGATCTTAAAAAAAAAGTGTGGCTATTTATGCCAAAGAACATTTGTGTCCAGAACTAGTTTACACAGCTGATAATGGAAGAGTAGTGGCAATTACTATTGCAAGACAAAATAAAAAAACTTTAATTGTAAACATTTATGCCCCTAATCAAAACCAAGAAAAAAAATTTAAATCAGTCTGAGAAATGTTGGTTAACCAAAAATGTGAAGACATATGCATTATTGGGGATTATAATGCAGTAGATGAAACAGAAGTAGATAGAAAATAGAATAGGTTTTGTTCATCTATGTGCCTACTAATTCTTTCCTTAATAATGGTTTCCACCAATTTACCCGGTATCAACGTCAGACTGACTGGCCTGTAATTTCCCGGATCTCCTCTGGAGAAGGTTTGGGGTCACTCCAACCAAATATATCCAAAATGGCTGCTTCAAACAGTAATTTTTATCTTGAAAATAATGCAAATTTCAGGCAGATATGCAGCAAAATAAACATGTACCTATTAGTAGAATGGATGATTCATGTTGTATGTCTGCTTTTTCCAATAAAGAAATATGATGTGTGTGGGACACTATGTGTTGTTTTTTTTAAATTGAACTCTCCTAAAAAGGAGAGAATTTTATTGCTTTAAATTTTCCAGAAAAAAGGGAGGGTATATAGAGGGATTAAGAAAAGTGGCGAGTGATGAGTAAATTAGTAGGGACACTATAATGTTTGAAGCAGATTTAAATCTTTGTTCTTAATAAGAAATATGAATCATCATAATCTATTACAGATTATTTTTAATTGAGTCCCTAAATGGAATTATGGCTCTAAACCACTGTACAATGGTTTGATTATTAAAAAGTTAGTTACTTCAGACCCAAAATACAACTGTTCATAGAAATCAATGAAACCTAACTACAAACAATCAACAGCTAGTGTAAAAACAAGTATACTTTTTTAAAAAATGTAAATGTTATAAAGTATTTTTCCTCACCCTTTAGGCAGTCTTTCCACACAATTTTCCGTGTCTTCTCATAATGTCTGTTCATCCAAGTAAGAAGAATTCTTTCAGGTGGAGAATATATATTACTGGACAAAGGATCAGTACTTATTTTTGGCATGATTTCTTCATCTTCTGGGCTGCTTGAAGTGTTAACCTCAACTGTAGAGACACGCTGGAGAACCAAAATCTGAAATTTAAAGGAGTCAAAAAACAAATCACGGTTTTAATATTAAAAATATTCATACATTTGAAGGTGCTTTGTATATATTAGCATTACAACACTAAAAAGGAGGAAACTTTTACAAACTTTTAAAAAATTAAAATGGTCAAAAATATAAAACCCAGATCCCACTTCAAATAGACTGCTAAGAAAGACATCCTTTACCTACCAACTTCTCTGTTCCCAATGCCTCCTTTTAGTGGTAACTTCCTTTTGAGAGGTTTATTTGGACTGAAAGGTCACAATGGCCTTTTTGATATTCAAGCATATTTCTCTGCCTTGCCCTCTAGCCAGAGGAAATCTCAGCAACCAAACCTTACCCCCTTGGGAATGCCATGGGGACTCCTAGCAGGAACCTACCAGGAACTTTCCCCAAGCCACAGATTCACCTTACACTGCAGGTATAAAAGCGGGTCAGGTATCTCAGATAGAGCTAGCTCCCAACAGCTTGAGGTAGGCTGAAGGGGAAAGAGGCACCCAGGAATTATGTCAACTAGCTGTGCCAGCTGTCAGAAGCCCAGGAAGTGATACCCAAAGATGCAGGTATGGTAGCTTCAGGGGAGGACCTTGCCCTCTGGGTGAGGCCAGTTAACACAGTGTTCTAGATATTCACATACCAAATAACAAACCTTTTACTGTATCATTTTTATATTAGGACTAGCAGATTCATTGTATCTGGTGCCAACTCTTCAATAAATTATTCTATTTCATTATTCTATTCTACTCTGTAAGTTGCATCACGTGCAAAAGAAGCAGGACTAATTTAAAAATAAAGAAGGTTGCAATGTCATAAAGGAAACGTTAAATTGTTTCTCACTGAAGTTATCATTTTTACATTGGTAATAACATCATGTCATAGTAAAAAATATCCTGTCTTCTATGTTGTTTCATTTGTAGAAGTCACTGTCAAAACATGAGAGTCCACTAAACTAAGAAAAATTCTACTCTATAAAAAACATAAGTTTCTGTAGGAGAATTAAAATCACATAAATTAAGCATAGACCTTATAGGAAAATATATTACAAAACAGATTAAAAAGCAATCACTAGATCAAGACTACACAAACAATAATAGTCTTAGGTTGTAATAAAGTTTTCAGTTTTGTTAAAAAGAGCAACTATGACTGGTGCATAGAAGAAAGTTGCCTCTACCTCAAGTTTCCCTTTATAGAACACTTGCTTTGAATCTACAACTTGCTTTTCAAAGGGGAGACTATACTTGGATGGAATGATAAGAAGAGAGATGAGATGCAGCAAAAAAGAAAATACAAAATATTTATATTAAAAAGTGGAAATGTATAAATATTTTAGTATTCTTAAAATGAACAACTCTGCACACTATTTTAAGTATTATTATGGGCAGAACTAGGCATGATGATAAACTTGGGGTTGCTGGGGGGGAAATGTGTGTCCATAAACTTGTAGTTAAACATGGGATGGTATATTACCATGTTGTGAGTTTTCTGCACACACCTCTACCCAACTCAGCAACAGCAAGTAACACTGAACAAGGACGAGGAAATGCGTAATATGGGGAAATCTCATCATACATTTCCATAGCTAAATGTTATAAGCATGGGAGGGGGAACTCAGTCATGGTTCCATTTTCAATGCAACCATGTATATTTTAACACATAGTTCTGCTGTAAATGAAGCATAACATCTTACCTTGTATATTTGAAGTAACACATCTGTCCATGACCGTTTGCTGATAGCCTCAAAACTGCAGTCATCCAAAATGTAAATGTCCTCAGGCTCAGATCTCCTACACTTTAAATAAAATGAAACATTTAGGATTCACATTTTAGTTTTATTCTCAGAATGTGAAAAAAAAATAGAGGAGAAGAAGGAGAAGGAGAAGAAGAGGAGGAGGAGGAGGAGATTGGATTTATGTCCCGCCCTTCACTACCCTGAGGAGTCTCAGAGCAGCTTACAAACTCCTTTCCCTTCCCCTCCCCACAACAGACACCCTGTGAGGTAGGTGGGGCTGAGAGAGCTCTGACAGAAACTGCTCTTTTTCAAGAACAGCTGTGCTAGAACTATGGCTTGCCTAAGGTCATCCAGCAGGTGCAAGTGGAAAAGTGGGGAATCAAACCTGGTTCTCCCAGATTAGAGTCCGCGCAGTAACCACTACACATATATAACTATATCCACAATAAAGCTGTTATGCATTCAGAATCAAGTCTGCACATGTGTTAGAAGAACAGAATTCCAGACCAGGATATGCCTATGTAAAAAAAGGCTGTGGCCTTTTGCATAATCATTCACTTCTTGCTTTATATATGTTTATTGAGCACAGCAAGCATGGGACACTGAATAGTGTCTGTAAAGGACTGTAAAGAACAGTCACAAGCAAGTGGCATGTGTATCACATTTGCTATTATGAAAGACAAGGAATAAGACCCATTGTAGAAATAAATACAATGAACTCTAGGAAGAGGCTATGGGTGGGTGGCCTGGCCTTGGGCACTCAGTGTCAACTTGCTGTGGTGACCTCAGCAGGGTATGTTGACACAGAGCTTACCATTTTCTCCAGGGGAACTGATCTCTGCCATCTGAAGAGCAGTTGTAATTCTGAGTGATCTCCAGCCCTCACCTGGACATTGACAACAATGGTTTCTCAGGAGGAAATGGCTACTTTGGAGTGTGGAGTCTATGGCATTGTACCTGTCTGAGGTCCCACCCCTCCACAAATCCCACCCTCTCCAGGCTCCACCTCTCAAATCTCCAGGAATTTCCCAACCTGGAGTTGGCAAGCCTATCTCCTTCCCAGCCAACCATCAACCTACTGACTTCAGCTTTCCATCTCCTCCCCACTCCCTGCAGCCTCTACCTAGGAAGAGTACAGTCTTTATCCACAGTGGGAACCAAAGCAGCTCGCATCATTCTCCTCTCCCCCTTTTGATATGCACAACACTGTGAAGTAGGTTAGGCTGAAAGTCTGTGTCTGGTCTGGAATCACCCACTCAGCTTCCACAGCAAGAACCTGGGTCTGGAAGAACCTGCTCTGAAATGCTAACTGCTACACCACACTGGCTGTGGTATTGCCTGGTATCACAACTGAACTCCAGACAACAGATCTCTCTCTCCCCCCTAGTAGAAAATAACTGCTTTGGAGGATGCACTCTATGGCATTCTCCCCTCCACAAAGTCTGGCTTCCGTAGACTCCACAAATTCTCCAGAAATTTCCCAACCTGGAGCTGGCAACCCTAGTCAGGACTGGTCCAAAGTAAGCCTGGAAAGGGCCTCCCCGCTACACATTTTTACTGACAGAACCAAACTTGGTTGCCTAGCAACAGCCCCTGAGGGGAAAGTGAGCTGCACAACAGGAGAAGAGAATGGTTTGATGGCCACTGGTCCAGCTCAGTAGCCAGCCACGGAGGAGCCAAGCAGCAGGAGAAGCATCTTTGTAAGGAGTGACAGCCATTTGGCAGTTTATTTAGACAGGAAAGTGGCCAAGCCAGCAGTGGGCAGGGGAGTGGAGGGAACCCAGCACCCAGCCAATGGCATGTGAGTACTCTTGAGCAGTGGTTGACAAGCCAATGGCTGATGGAGCACACAGCACAGCCAATGGAAGAGCCGGAAAGTGCCAATACATTGGGTGTGTGTGTGTGTGTGTGTGTGTGTGTGTGTGTGTGTGTATATATATATGGATGCTTCCGAAAGTGCCAATACATTGTGTGTGTGTGTGTGTGTGTGTGTGTGTGTGTGTGTGTGTGTGTGTGTGTTTGGATGCTTCCGAACAGGATAAGTGTTCTGAATCAGGAGAAAGTTTGCATATCAGAACAGATTTTCAAAAAGAAGTGACACTGGAAAATTCCTTATTCATGTTACATACAATTACACAGCAGCTGGACAAACACTTGTTAGGAATGCTCCAAGCTGCTCCTGCACTGAGTAGGGGTTTGGACTAGATGGCCTGTAGGGCCCATTCCAACTATGTGATTCTATTATTCTACAAAGTTTAAGATCAAGACTGAAAAACCCAGAGATTTACAGGACAGAATACCTTCAATGTAGACTGTAGATCTGTCCATCTCTTATAGTCATCAAGGTCAAAAAGAAACTGGGGCAGCACATGAGGAAAAAATGCTCCTTGGCATCTAACATGAAAAGAATACAAGCATAAAAATAAACATGTTTATAAAATGATAACCATTATTTGTCTAGGATGGGTTATTCATGGCCCCACCCCCTTCCCTATGGATATACTGCTATGCATTCAATATACAACTCACAAAAAAACACATACTAGTAGTTATTCTATCAGCATTCCAATCCCTCTTTGTGTATATCAGTTCTGTAAGAAACTTAATATGTGTATAGTACCAAATCTGATAAAAGTAACTTTATAACAATATTCTAAAAGATAAATCATTTATCAGAAGTAGTTTGTCCAATAAGAGATATAGTTTAACTGAAAAGCTGTGCTTTGAATAATAAAGGATATGACAAACAGAATAATAGAATTATAGAGTTGGAAGGGGCCATACAGACCATCTAGTCCAACCCCCTGCCCAATGCAGGACCAGCCTAAATAGGGTTGCCAAGTCTTACCTTTAGCTGAAGCGGGAGACTCCCGGCTGTTTCCTGAAGCACGCGCACAAGTGCGAAGCGCGCGTGCGCCACAACCACGTCACCCGGAAGTGACGTGATCACACTGGGCACGCTGGGGGCGGGGCCACGACCATCCGAGGGAAAACCATAGAGTTTTCCCTCAGATGACCGTGTCCCCGCCCCCAGCATGCCCGGCGTGGCCGCGTCACTTCCGGGTGACGTGCACGTCATGTACTTTGGGGGTGGGGTTCCCCCCGGGGCCCGATCCGCCAGTGGCAGGGAACGGGCCTCTGGGGCGGGGGTTTCCCCACCCCCCCGGGGGAACGTGGCAAGCCTAAGCCTAAATCATCTCTGACAAATATTCCTCCAGCCTCTTCTTGAAAGCTGTCAGTGAAGGGGAGCTAACCACCTCCCTAGGCATCTGATTCCACCTCTGAACCATTCTGTGAAAACATTTTTCCCAATATCCAGCTGATACCTTTCTGCATGTAATTTAAACCCACTGCTTTAGGTCCTATCCTCTGCTGCCAACTGGAACAACTCCTTGCCCTCCTCCAAATGGCAGCCTTTCAAATATAGCCCCCTCAATCTCCTCTTCTCCTAACTAAACATTCCCAAGGCCCTTAGCCTTTCCTCATAGGGCTCAGTCTCCAGACTTGAGCATCCTTGTTGCTCTCTTCTGCACCCTCTCGATTTTGTCCACATCCTTTTTGAAGTAAGGCCACCAGAACTGCACACAGTACTCCAGGTGCGGCCTGACCAAGGCACTATACAGAGGGGCTATGACCTCCTGCGATTTCAATGCTATGGCCCATTTAATACAATTCAAGACTGAATTTACCTTTTTTTTGCCACCACATCACACTGACAGCGCATATTTAGTTTACAGTCCACCCTTACCCAAAGATCTCTTTTGCATACACTACTCAGAAACATATCTCCCATCCAGTATTTGTGCTTGACATTTTTGTGGGCCAGATGTAATACTGTGCATTTATCTTTGTTAAATTGCATCCTGTTTGCAACTGCCCACTTCTCCAGAGTATTCAGGTCTTGTTGAATTTTAACTCTATCTTCTTGGGTGTTTGCTACTCCTCCCAATTTGGTATCATCAGCAAATTTAATGAGTAGCCCTTCTACCTCTTCATCCAGATAATTGATAAAAATATTGAAAAGTACCGGGCCCAAAAGCGAGCCCTGCGGCACCCCACTGGACACCTCCCTCCAATGTGATGAAACACCATTGACCACCAGAGTTGCTCGAACAGTGAGGTGAGATGTAGCACAAATAAACAGGCGTTATAATTAGGGTTGCCAGCCCCAGTTTGGGAAATACCTGGAGATTTGGGGAGTGGAGCCTGAGGAGGGTGGGGTTTGGGGAGGGGAGAGACTTCAACGGGGTATAATGCCATACAGTCCACCATCTAAAGTAATTCCAGAAGATTCCTGGCCAGCACCAGGAGGTTGGCGACCCTGGCTATAATGCAAAGTCTGGCTGAATAATATCAATTAGACTTTATGGAAAGTCTATCATCATAACCATCATTCAAGCTTATGCCCCAGCTACAGATGCTGAGGAGGAAGAAATGGAAAGCTTTTATAAGTGTCCAGGAAGAAACTAATCATACACCTAAACAAGATGTGCTGATAATCATAGGTGACTAGAACATAAAAGTACGAAACAACATAGAATCAAATCCTGTTGGGAAATTTGGGCTAGGATTATGAAATGAAGAAGGAGAGCAACTCAAAAAAAATTGTAAAGACAACAATTTGTTCACTGCGAACACATGTTTCAGACAACAGACAACTGTATACATGGACATCACAAGATGGCCAACACAAAAATCAAACAGATTCCATAATCAGAAGCAAAAGATGGAGAAGCTCTATTCTCTCTGCTGAAACAAGACCAGGAGCTGACTGTAGTAAAGATTACAGGACACAAATTGTTAATATGGAAACTCAGACTAAAGCTGAAGAAAAACTCCAAAATATTCCTGAAGAGTTTAAAGACCATGCAAAGAACAGATTTGCAACCAGAAGAACTACAGGTTGAAACCAGAGATATTATCAATAAAGAATGTACAAAGGCTATTCCTGTACCCAAAAAGAAAAAACTTGATGGATGACTGATGAAACTCTTCAAATTGCTAAAGATAGACAAGAGGCAAAAGTAAAAGGTGATGAATAGAATCAGAAGTCTAAATGCAGCATTCCAGCAATTTGCATGTAGAGACAAAGAGAACTGTTATAAAGTGTGAAGAAATAGAAGAGTGGGCAGGGACATTGCGCAATGCACTGACGTCACCCAGAAGTTATGTCAGTGGTAAAAATAGACTCAAACCATAGAATTTTGCCCAAAAAGCAGAGAGTGTCCCCCAACGCCACAAAAGTGCTGATGTCATTTCTGCATGATGTCAGTGTGTTGTGCACCATGTCGGGGTGGGAGGAATTTCCTCCTGCAGGCCAGCTGACCAGTGTTGGCCAGAGCCTGTAAAAGTGGGGGATCCCCGCCCTCACCTGGGTGTTGGATCCCCAAGCATCGAGAATAAATCCACGTTTTAAAGAAAAGCAAAATTTATTTCAAAGCGTTGAAGACATACTCAAACACGTTCTTTGTTAGAACTGGGGATACACAGTTAGGTCAAGCATAATAAAGGAACTTCAAACAGATACAGATCCAATGAATATCTTTCCCGCTGGCGGGCTAATGAAACGGTTGCGCGCCCAGTCCATGGGAACCAGGCAGAACATCAGACAAAACACAGGTGCACTATTCATGGGAAAAGCAATAGCCAAGCATTACAGCAAAGGAACTTCAAACAGATACAGATCCAATGAATATCTTTCCCGCTGGCGGGCTAAGGAAACGGTTGCGCGCCCAGTACATGAGAACCAGGCAGAACATCAGACAAAACACAGGTGCAGTAGTCCTGGGAAAATCAATAGGCAAGCATTACAGCATCTTCTCCCCCACACAACCTCCAGCAGTTATCTTTTGCATTCCAAAGCAGGAACAGGATGATAGAAGCCAAGCCGGGTGTAACAGGGAAAGGATATGTACACAGAGGTCACAGAGAACAGAATGGCAGCTTGCTGACATACTGCCCCCCTTAAAATACACTTACAACACACCTCCCGAGAAATCAACCCATTCGATAAGGTACCAGAGTTTACCACGTTTCACTTTACAATCAAGGATATCAGCTATTTCAAAATGTTCATCCCCTTCCAATATGACAGGCGGAGGAGGAGTAGTCTCTGGTCTCCAAGGAGACGGTCCAGGATCCTTCTTCAATAGACT